CGAGACCCCTCTGTCACTAGACATATTGTGTTGCAAGTTTCCTGCCAATGTAAAATAACACACTACATGTCTGACAACACTTCCCCTGAAGCTGTGAAAAGTGACACCCTGGCGGCAAGTTGCAACAACTGAGTAACTGTATTGATGCTGTTGTTAGCGCTGATGTTGGTGCTGTAGTTGTCAATGTCCACATCCTCATGAGGATCAATGACATGTAACGACCATAGCCCACTTGCCCCTCTTGGCTTTGTTGATGTTGGTGGACAGTTCTGTTGCTGATTGTGCAAGGTTAGGCAAACACATGACCTAAGGAGATCATGTCAGCTGAGACCCTGCTTTTGACCCCTTGACCAGGGTCCTGTTTTAAAAACCAAACTATTTTAGCTCTCTGACCATTGTACTATTGCAGTCATGTCAACTTGCTTAAAGTAAAGATAAAAATATAGAACAGGCGCAATTCAAGAACAAGGACAGTGTCATGTAGGTCTACTTCCAGCAGATTATTAAAATTACCCCAAAAGGCACAATTGTCTAATTCATTTTCCATTAAATTGGCTTCAAAGTAAATTATTTGTTGGCGTGCTGCATCTATCCCACAGTCATCAATATCATAAAAACTATAATGGTGGCCTGTATATCATTGAATCTGGACCAGAAAATCTGGTGATCTGTATTGTGGCGATCTTGTGATCGATATATCCACCCTGTTGGGATTATGACAAGCTATGAACCAAATCACTGCGTGACCAACAGATGACTTGGATCACCACTGAGGACCAGTATAGGTTCTTACTTCGACAAGTTCTAACTTTGAATACAATAGGGTGCAAGGACAGTGGATCAGCACTATGAGGTGGCTGATTCTCTTGACCTGATATAGACTTAAACTTAAAGAGCCGATCCATGTTATCAGGTATGACGCCATGCAGTCTGTTCCAAAACTTTGAATGTACCAGCTAGCCTGACCTGACCCAAATCTCTTAATATCCTTTTCAGTAGGCCTCAGTGTTAATGCCATCACAAAGTCAATGAATGACCAAAGGATTTTCATTAGTACACTCCTATAATAAGCATGGAACACTAGGGACCTATTCTTTCCTGAATCCCCATGGGGTTAGTGACCCAAATCTCTTAATATCTTTTTCAGTAAATCTCAGTGTTAATGCCATCACAAAAGTCAATGAAAGGACTAAAGGATTTTCATTAGCACACTCCTATAATAAGCATGGAAAACTGAGGACCTATTATTTCCTGGAATCCCCATTGGGTTAGTGTTGCCGTGCTGATGAGCAGACGCGTCTCTTACATCACCACTGACCAGTACATCAATGTCAGACGCCTCCAGCCTCATTAATTCAGCAACACAACACTGATTATCTTGCGTTTCACCTCAAGTTGAACAAAGCCATTATCTCTTAGTGATAATAACTCACATGCAATACTGCACTGACAGATTTTAATCACAGACCTGTAAATTAATGTAATTGCATGGTAAAACAATGCTCTGTTTGTCATGTCCTCTCCAGAAGACATTAAACAGAATCATTGTTCAAGGTGTTCTGTACAACACAGGCAACAGGGGTAAGGTCATACTGTTGGTTGCATTCGAGATTCTAAACTAAAGCCCTTGGAAGCTATCTTCAAGGATTAATAATTGTTATATTCTATGGTTCTATATACAAGTGATGAATATTATTGTTGCATAATTATACAGTTCCTTTTCATACCTTTCTGCACATACATGTAAAAACATTTCTTACAACAATTTTGTGTGATAACGATACACTGATGCTTATGATGTCATAGATACTTAGGTAAAAACAATACTTTAAATGCTGGTTTATGGAATCATGATATGCTGTCTATAGAACAGGAATGGATGTAGTTCCCTCTCGTAAGTAACATAGCCCATGTGTAAGTATGGTGAACACATAAATGAGCTGGTGACATTTAAGCCTTCAGTTTCAGCACATTTCAGGTTTAAAACATCATCAGACAAAAGTGGGTTTCATGCATATTGTTATTTATTATTTTATGATAACAATAAGTGTTTAGAAAGAGGTTTTAAACAGGTATTTATTGCTATCTTTTGTTGCACATCAGCATCACAATAGTCACAAGATCTCAGGTAATACACAGCTTTAAAAGCCATTCATAAACTTAATTAAAAATAGAAAAGGTAAAGCCAAATTATATTGATGTGCATTATATTTGACAAAATAAACTGTTACATGATATACCTTTCACCCTAGTTAATTAACACATTTATTGTTAAAAATTTCAATTCAATACTCAAATATGCTACAGTGAACCATTGACAGTGACAGTCAAGTTTCTTTCTGCGACACTTCTGTTTACAGGATATAATTTGAACATGCTCAGTATTGCTGGTATTTTACTGGCCAGTTGTCTAAATGCTGCCTCTAATAAATGAGGAAATAATACAATATCTTATCAGCTGACAGTTGTCACTGACTGTTTTGGAGATTATCATTACAATATAAGTAAACAGAATACTTTGTGTAAATAGTCCTACTCTGAGAGACTCAACAAAACTTCCACAACGAAAACCAAATAGCAAATATTGTTTGACTGATGTAATAATGCAACTGGAAGTTTGAACAAGATGTATATACTGTTTGATTACTTGGTGTGTTTTGTGTTTTCTTAGACATGTTAAAGTAAATCTTCAAAGAAGAAAAATATTCTGAATGATCTCAGCAAACACTTCAAGTTTAGCCAACTGAGACACACCCTTTTAAAATCATACTCCAGCCTTGAAGGTACATTTGTCCAGACAGACTCAACTCATGTTAAACACCCTTTACTTAACAGAATTGCTTATAAAAACAGACTTTATATTTACTTTACAGATCCATCGACCATAAAAATAAAATATAATCCAGATGACAAAGTTCTTCTTCTCCCACTGATTGTGGTGCTTGGACAATATAGATGACGATGAAATGATGCCGACCTCACAATTTGTCTGATGATTTTTACAAAAACCTAGACCAAGTGAAGTTGGTTAATTATTTTTATCACAAAATGATTCAAATAAAACTTTAAGGTGACTAAAACTCCTGAAAAACAGATGGTGGCTATTGATGAAAGGTAGGTGAATTCAATTTATTGACAGAATAAAACATTTTAATATGTGAAACATTGACATCATTGATCCAACTGACAAAAGCTTTCATTATTTAAATCTATAAAACAAAACAGGCTGTCCATTTTTACTAATTTTAGGTCCATTCTTGGCTCAATCAGTCTCCAGATGCAACATGACAGCACCAGCAAATATATAACCCTGCTGATATGATAACAACTTGTCTGATATGTAAAACCTCTGTTTATTTTGAAGGAATTCCCTTGTCCTCTCATCTGTGCAAATAATCTTACTGATCCCCCATATCTATAGTATTCCCCTCCACAGTTTCTTCCCATCACACTCTACCTGCCCAGATCAGCCTTTGAAGTTCTTACCTGTAATCAAGTAATTATCTAACCACAGGTGCAACTACAGGTACGCTGACACGTACCACGGGTGACATTGACCTTTGTGGAGCGTGAACATGCTGAGTGCAGTTTAGCCAGTTGGAGATTACAATACCCCTGGGAACAAACACCCCTTCCCCACCTACCTCCACCTCCGCACTTCCTCACCATTGTACATGGTCAGTGAAGCGTGACCAACATGCAGGCACTGATGACGGTTAATGATGCAAGGCTAGCTGAATTTAACTGACTGAGGTGCCTGTGGCTAAATACATGGACACAAAATGACCAGAATATCGAATTAAAATAATAGTTCCCACTTAACCGGCTTGACAACCAAATCACTTCAGTTTAACCCCCTAATCGATTGATAGATAAGCTATGCTGGCAATCGTTTTTCAAGGGTCAGTGGTTGGTAGGTCAGGGGAACCAGTTTTCTTATTTAGACAATAAGCTGTACCAAAGAATATCTGCAATAGGAAACTGATGCAGCTTACGGCAAAAAATCCTGAGTCTACTAGCCCATGGCTCGATATCATTTTCAGTAGAAGTTTAAGTTACTATGTGGACAATTATTTGCTCAGCTTCCTAGACCGAACAGACTTTTACCAGAGTCAGGCTTCAAACTACTGCCAAAAGACACAGACACTCAATGAACCAATTATAACAAATCAAATATATCTTTAAACTTTCCATGTCGTATTTAAAGAAAACATACATTAATTTTTTTACCTAAAAAAAGTGCAAAAAATGCAACTACTCTTTGTTTTTCTTGATAAGGGACATAATCGAACGATATCAAACAATATCCACACATTGATGGCTATCAAACAATATCCGGTTTATATTCCCTTATCAGGCTAATCTATTTACTAGAGACTGGATGACTATACTATAGTCTGTCTCAGTCCCTGAACCACATTATTTTCCCTACTGCCAAGCTCTCTCTGCAGTGCTAAAGCCCTAAATAAGTAAGTCTAGATTTCCTCAGGTTCTGAATCTCTGGTCTCCCTAGGGCTCCTTTTCACTTTAAATGGGCTTGTTTGTTACTATCAAAATTATATATATTCAGAAACTAAGCATTAGTCTAACTATACTAGTATAGTCCATGTTGAGTTATTGTGTGATATTTCAACATGAGTTAATACAAATCAGTAACATACCAGCATCAAGACATGAAAGGTCACAACAGGTATGAAGCGCAGTCGAGAAATATTCAGTCACATATATAGCACCTGCTAGCATGAGACTATTCACTTTACAATCAATTATTTATCCTATCTGAGGAATAACCGGTGTGATCAACTCAATACTCCACAAAGAAACTTGGCCATGCTGCTGGGGACATTCTGTTGCATTCTTTACTGGAGTGATTTTCATGTCCAGAATGGGAATATCATGGAATGGTCTTAAAACAAATTAACACAATTTTATGAGAATTTGACAATGGTAACGTGATATGGACACAATTTTACTCGGCATTGTTTCTAGATTCTACTCACATCTGTTGCATGACATCACACAGGAAAACTCCATCGTATAAATCCTTGTATTTCAGAGGTGGGCTGTCACTGCCTCGAAAAGTTTCCACCTGAATTGAAAATAACACAATTAATCTTAATTCAGTGTTGGCCTGTAGATATGAAGAATATTAAAATCATATCATATTTAGGTCTACTGCCAGTAAACTAAATGTTAAAATTACCTCAGAAGACATAATTGTCTAATTAATTTTCCGTTAAATTGGCTCTAGCGTAAATTATGTGTTGGCGTGCTGCATCTATCCCAAAACAAAAGGAATACACGAAAATAAATGTTGAAAATACTTCAACATTTTTGTCCTATTATTTTCTTGCTCGCAGTTCAATAACCTCGGTTATGAATTCATTATTATCGTGCTGCATAATGTCAGAAACAAAAATAAAAAATACATGTAATTTCAGTCGTAACACGACAGACTCCGCTGAAAACACTCACCCACACTACAAGAGGGTTCGTCATGTAGGCCCTGTCCTCTGCCATTTTCAAAATTTTCAAGCTTGGGTTTTCTCACAGGTAAATCCTCGTTGGTCGCTCTATCAGCCTCATACTCACGCTGATGCTGGCTTTGTAAACACTGGACTAGATATAGAACTAACCATAAGATCAAGACAAAATAGATAAAGAAATTCCTCCACTGAAACACACACAATCCACACGTGGGGATCCAGCTCCTAGATGTCATTCATTTGTTGTTGACAACTCTCGATCTTGCAATTTCTTCTGAGAAAAGGCGAGAGTAAGTAAGATCCGAATGTCCTAACCGCACCGAAAACACATACTCCTTCTGGTCTGATGAATAACATTCCATTTGACTCAGTGTTTACAATGGCTCAGAATCTCAGACAGGTAGAAGCATGCACAGGCCTTGAAATTCACAACACTGAGACGGCAATAAGCTTGCAGATTACGTCGGGGGATCATTCAGCTTATTGCGTGCCGGTTCACTTCGCTGAATTCAATGGAAAGGACAACTTTCTTTTACATTGTCAAGTCCTGTGTACGTGCGGTCTTGGAAAGATAGTGGACAGGAAATGACACATATATGCGACTTGCATACATTCGAGTCTCCGCGGTTTCTTCCTCACATTTTCTCTAAACTGTGTCACGCCATTGCATTCAGGTCCAGCCAATCACGTTAGTGCTATATGACCTTTGACATGACAGTGTATCACTCCGCAGGGAATATTTACCAGTTACTATGGTATTCTGTTAGTGGCGCGTAAACCGAGTGTTATGAATTTGCCTTCAGCTCTGCAGAAGGCGGGTTATTGCTTCGTAGGAGTTCAATGAAGGGTGAAATTCTTCGTTCATAAAATATCTTAGAACTGCAGCATTGTACTCGCTTTGAAGCGACCATGTTGACTAAACGGACACCTGTCGAAAATGCTGTGTAATCTAAGGGAGACAACTCGAGACATCTCTGTATCTGCAAAATATTTACGTATCGGGTTGTTATAAATAACGCTAATGTCTAAGGTAAATCATGCACTGAAATTAAAATTTCATAATTTCATACTCGAAGGTAAGAGAAAAATATATTTACTACAAATAAGTTGGCACTAAGTGATACTTGTCTAGCCGAAGGTATTTAAAAATTCCTCCAATATTTCTCACATCTCCTAAACTCATCAATGATAAAGACATTTAAAACATTTATGCACTACAATCATGATTAATACAAGAAGTATAACACAGGACCTGTGTACAGAAGGTAATAGTTGATGTAAAAATGCTATGCCAAAACAATGTTTGATTACCACGTGTCAGACATATTTGGCCTACTGTACACGTTTAAGATTGAATTTCAGCGATGTCTTAGAGAGAACTGTTCCCACTCAGTTCAGTGCATATATACATGATTCTATTTCTGAACCCATATTCGGAAATAAACAGATATGGTCGTGACCAGCAGATCCTGATAGAGTTGCGATAGATTCTGCACGTCTCAACTACCACAGATGCATTGATGGAGTCGTTACACTTCCAATTTATTTTGATTTTAAATCGAATTTTGAATTTAATCAGGTTCATATTCGATGAGATTATTCCATCACAAATGTCATACGTACCTTCATGACTGGTTGGATGGAAACAACACTTACATTATGATTTCAAAAGTTTCGATTTCTTACTGACTTGAAAATATAATTGACTTGAGTGAAAATATAATTGTTTATCCGATTTACATATCTGATAAGAGGATCACAGAATTTTCTGGTTCACAATCACTTGATTGTCTCTTCAAGACTCGATTGCTTACAAGGGCTGTCGTATTCTACGATTGCTGTAATTTGGTGTTAACCAGTAAAAGAATGCTTACCTTTCACGCAATTTGTGTGGTGTAGAACAGGACATACCCTTTTTGCGAAAAGTTGTTGCCGTGACTGACTTTCAGGGCTCCATTTGATACTTTTCACCTCACCTTTGCAATTTACGCGCAATAGATTCGGTTTCGACAGATAATCAAGATTTATATATACAAAACCTTATATATTTATCTATAATAGACACATGACAATCACGATCGTATCTCCTACACACAGCGTCAAAACTAATCTATTTTGTAACAACCTGTTGCTGACATCGATCAAGAGTTGCTACAGAGGTGTCGCTATGTTGATACAGTTAAACAAACACAACGAGGAGACCAGTTGGTGCCAATCTATATGTTACACGTGCCAAAAAACAACATGTTTTTAAGGCACCGTGGCAACATCCCCTGAACACGGTGGCAGTAATTGCAGTAATTAAGGGCCATGGCTTGAGACAAATATGAGCGCATGTCAAAAAACAACATCATTCCAGGCTCTCGGTAGGAAAGTGAGTAAGATACGATAAGGTGTGACATTAATTTAAATTCGTTTTGAATTAGGCCCGTTTTGATTCTTCAAACATGTATGATTATTATAATTTTGGATATTCCTTTTGAATACTGTATTTAATTACCTATATTGCTTAATTAAAAAAATATATACATATTTTATTATTCGTGTTGAATCTTGCTATTATTTTTAGGATTTTTGTTTAAAAAACGGAATAATCATTATATTTTGTATTATTAACCGTGAATAATGTTGCCACAAGCAGTTACGTTGCTTTATGCAAGTGGACAGTGCTTTCACCGGTTAATGTTACTTTTCTTACTGTTAATGGTGGAACAAATGCTTTCAAGTGATATTGTCACCGACCCATGCACATTTTCTTAAGTTTTCAGAGAAAGTACTTTTAGAGATTAATGCACCTTGCAACCAGCGCTTGTCGTAAAAGGCGTCTAAGCTCGGTGACGTGGTTGACTGCATGCCGTATCCTATTGAATCGATGCTCATGATATTAATCACTGGACTGTCTGATCCAGACGTTATTTAATATTGTCGTCGCATAGCTGGAATACGGCCAACAATGTTGCTTAAAAATGCAAAGGATACTTCCAAACAGAGAAATTGTACAGCTCAGAGTTTCGTTATCAATTCAATTTATTACTCAAAACACCACCAACGGTGGTACATGAGAATACAATATTACTATAGTCATATAAATATATATATGTCAAGATGGCAGATAAAAGCGAAAAAGAACCAAAGGTTAATGTATCTTTGTAGACTTAATATTACATTAATGTACATAGCAAGATTTTAAGATTGCGCGTTTGTTTAGACGAGAACAGTTTGACGACTTTCCACAAGGTTATTGAATTCAGGTAAGAAGGTAAATATGTTACCATCGGATATCACCATCCGATTCAGGCGATTTGTCCAGAACTCTTAAACTGAAAAACAGTGAAAGGTGTTACTACTTACAGTGACAAACCAACAATGGAGGATACTTCTAAACAAAAACATTGCACAGATGAAAGTTTACCAAGAGCATCATCCAACAAATCCTACACAGTGAAAAGTTTTTGCTTTGCTTCCACACTCAAAGCATCCATTGATTCCAGTCACTGTGACACTGACAGCCAAATAACGCGCGCAGAGAGCTGATCGAAAAGAACTATGTAATATTTTACTGGCGCTTCCTTTATTATAGCCGACTCTCCTGCTTTGGATAGCCCTGGAAAGACGGCAATGATTGTGCGGTCGATGAGAATGATCGGCGGTACCCGGATGTGTGGGCATTGACGTAAGTGAATTCTGATGCCATACTGAGGAATGTGGTTGAAATGGAAAGAGAAACGCTATACTGTATGTGATAAAAATAAAATGAAAATATGTCAGATCAGTTGATTTGAGTTTGGGGCAGTCATTGCTTTGTAGACATCAATTGTGAAGAACGAAACTCCAAAGATTCTGGATTTCAAAACATATATTTAAGTGAGTTTAGCTTACACCAACTGACAGTCATACCAGGGTTGTTGAAATTCACTTGGTTAACGTTGGTCCGTTGACACAATACTTATGAGGCAGCTCAACCTAACTGGAATCAATTTACTGATTACTCGGTCCATCACTCTGAAGGTCCAAAAGCACGTGTAAAGGGCACAACACACGCCCCCTGGTACAGCCTCTAAGGAAACAGTTGAATCTCACTGGAACTAATTAACGCGGAATCAGCTGTGTTGCGGACACTATTAACGAAATTTATCTTTATCATGTTGATATGTTTAGCTCCTGTTAACGCTGAACTCTGCTCACAGTCAGAGCCTCTCAATCTGTCTTTTTGTATCAACACGTATCCTAAAGCGTTAATTAAGTCGCCATTCTCATTAAGTGCCACTGACAGTAATTATCAGCCAAGATTACAGAGTGTGAGTATGGTTTTACGCCGCGTTTAGCAATATTCCAGCAATAACACGGCGGGTGCACCAGAAATAGACTTCACACATTGTACCCATGTGGGGATTCGAACCCGGGTCTTCGGCCTGACGAACGAACGCTGTAACCAACTTGAATGACGACTTTGCATCATTGTTTCATATTCTTCGCGTTATTTGACCTTTCTTGTCGGTTTACATACTTTACTAAAAATGGTACAATGGCAGCTTTGGCCAGAAATGTTATACTTGATATTACAGCAGTACACATGTGTTTCCTCTTTTTCCTGAAGGGGAAGGTGCATTAGCCTTGTGGTTAAAGCGTTCGCTTGTCACGCCAAAGACACGGGTTCGATTACCCATGGGGTGTAATGTGTGAAGCTAAAATTCTTGTTCACCCGGTCGTGTTATTGCTGGAATATTGCTAAACTCGGCATAAAACCTCACTCAATCTTCTCCTGAATGCAACTGAATAACGTTCTGGTGAAACTCGCGTCAGTATCGATCAGTTTGGGACAGTAGAAAAGGGAAAATTAGGGGGTCGCGTCGAATATAGTTTCCTAGAATAGGTAATTTAGAACGGTATCCTCCCATAACGCAGACAGGCAGTTCACAGACGCCTTAAAATAACAACATTTAATAAAAAAATAATAATAAGTACATTTATATTGCGCCAAATCAGACACGAAGTGTATGCTCATAGCGCTACATAAGAGATTCTGACATCACGAGGTTAAGAGATAGCGGCTAGAAATGATTAGAGTCTATAGAACTGAGTGAAGAGAAATGTTTTGAGACTGTCTTTGAACATTTGCAGAGTAGGGATTCCTTTAAGATAATCTGGGAGTTTATTCCAGAGAGTGGTGGCATTGTAAGTAAATGATCTCTGACCAAATCGTCTCAGACGTGGGGTTGGAACAGAGAAGAGATGTTGTTGGGCAGATCGGAGGACTCTAGATGGGTGGTAGACTTGTGTGAGTTCAGACAGGTAGGAAGGTGCTGATTGGTGATAACACTGATAAGCCAGTGCCAGCACTTTACGGGGTGCCTGTCAATTAACCTTTAGAACGGTTAAGGAAACCAAAAAGACAAGCGATATCTCTATTTTTACCGCATATATTCCATGTGTATACAGCAAATAGTAACACAACTGGGGTGTATAATAAAATAATTCTAAATATCAGAAGTGTCACAATACTCTCGAATCATTAGACTACAAACGCACACACAACATTCACTGGCATTAATCCATATGAACAGAAAATACGCCTGGTTCTGGGCAGGTCTTCTAACTGATTACCAGCACTCCCAAACATGCCAAATCCTATTACATCTGAACACGAAAGGAGAAACGAGTTCCATATT